ACGATGCGCCTCTGCGACGTGATCTGCTGGAGTTGCTTGCCAGTAGCAAGCACGACGGATTCAATGTGGAACTCAGCCCTTGCACCGCCAAGCCTGCCTGGCTTCTTGGGGCTAAAATGGATCAAAATTGCAGCTTGGATTGCGCAACATCTTGTTTTGCTGTGATAAGATCTGCGTCAAGGGTTCACAACCCCAAAACGATCCGGCTCCAAAAACTCCCTGCCGATCTTCGGTTTGGCACAATCCCTGGAGCAATGCCCCTTGTAATTGCAATTCAATCAAGGAAGCAACGTAACCCATTGTAATTTGAATCCAGTTTTGTTAAACATGGCTGAGAAGCGACCTTGGCCCTTTTGGCTATTTGGCTCAAGCCCCTTTTTGGCTCAAGCCGTTTTAGCTCCACCCCTTTTAGCTTTTGGCGCAAACACTTTTGGATCAAACCCCTTTTGGCACAAGACACAATCAGTGGGTTTTGTTTCAAGACCCACTCATTAAATTAATGGACGGTGAATTTAGCTAACATGTGTCGGGGCCCAGTTTGGCGTCGCAACCTCCTTGCCTACCAGTAACTTGCCAGCTTGCATGGCTTAGATGGACTTAGGATTGTTTGGCAAGCTCGCAAACGCAAAACCAACAATAGAACCAGGGCACAGCCACTGGTGACCGCTGAGTCAGTTGCAACTGGAGTCCAGGTTCTTGAGGACCAACATGGGATCTCTCCCTGAGCCTGGCCAGTGCTGTCTGACTGGCCCGCCGGAACTGGCGCTGGGCCTGGAGCTGCCTTGTTGGTGCGGGCTTTGGCTTGGGCTTGGGCTCTGGCTTGGCCGTCGTCGGCAGCGCATCCCGCAACCCCTCCTCAACCAACTTGTCGTTGGAGCCCTGCGTTGCGCAGAAGATGCGGTTCAAGATCTCCTTCTCCAACTCAATGCCTCCTTGTGCTCCATGCCCTGGCAAACGCCCACATAGGGCTGCCTAAGCCGCAATTCCTCGTAGTCCTCCTTGGGCACGCCGCGCCAGCAAAAGGGCACATAGTCCGTCGAGCGCGGGGGGCTGAAGAGACTGCAGCACAACTCAACCTCCTTCCTGTCTTGTGGCTTCGGCTGGGTCCACTGACTGGCTAGTTTTGGTTTTTTGGGTTAATGGATTGAACCATTGCATCGTAATTTGCATGTTGCCTTGCATCATGATTGGCAGGTTTTATCAAATGGCTATGAACCTTGAGCTGCAAGACTTGCAAGCGCAGGTTTCATGGCACGCTGTCACTTGGCCTCTGTCAGTCTTTACAACATGGCCACACGCAGTCGGGACAAGTGAAGAGTGACCACAAAGCAATGTCTTTCAAATCATGACTGATCAACAAAGCGCTCAATCGATCACACGTTGGTAGCTGCAAGTCTGAAGAGGTGGGTTAAACTGAGGCTTACTATGAGGAACTGTTTGCTAGCAATGCCGTGTTTGGAAATGGCTGCGCGCATCAGCGCGCTGCCCAGCGCTTCTTTTTCTGGCTTTGCGGGTTAGTCGGAGGCTGTGCCCCGACTCCTATGTTACAAAGGAATCACTGCCAGGGCACAAACCTCTGGGCAAGAAACCCAGCACAGTGCCTCAGAGTCTTCTCATTGTTGTCTTGATTCAATCTTCATCCGCGTTGGCCATTGCCCCGCTGCCACCGCTGCCAGGCATCATCAGATAAGATCACCAGTCGCTACAATCATTGAGCTGGGACCAGTCGTTGACACCGCGCCAGTCTCCGGACCAGCCGCCGGCGTTGCCTTGCTCTTGCCCTTGAGCTTGCCCTTCCCCTTGTCGTCGTCACGCGCGCTGCAGTCCTGCGATGAATTTGGTCAATGAAGACTGCAAGAAACTCAGAAATTGCGCCAGTTGCAATCATGTTTGCCACAGAGTGAGGAGTTTGACCACTCGTGCCAGGCAGCAGAACCTTAGTTACGTGGCGCCATGACTCGCAAACCAAGGTTAACACAATGGCAAACATCAACACTTCTGCAGCTTAGACACTTGAAGTCCTCAGCTCGCTTGCAATAATCCAAGGGCATGTCATATGGCGTGGACCTCTTTTCGGTGGCGAAATCGTTGCAGCGAATGTTGATCCCGTTCAAGGTCAAGTTCGTCTGCGAGGCCCTTTTTGCGTCATCCATGTATTTGCCCATGAGGGTTACGTCACCAATCGTGGGCACGTCCCCCACGGCGATCTCGATCTCCGGGCACTGCTGGGGTGGCATGGCGGAATCGGATGGATGGGCCGTCACACTCGGGGCACAACCGCCGGCGAACAAAGAGCTACTGAGTGGCACAGCGTGAGCCTGCGTCGATTGCAAATCACAAAGCTGCAGCAACCACATTGTCTATGTTCAGCAAAATGGCCTGTCCCGCCGATTGTGGCTGCCTCACAACACACAATCCCTGAGAATTAAAACCTCCCCCGTCGTGAAACGATGCTAAATTTCTGGTTGGATTGGTTGTTGTCAATAACAATCAGTTTCAACATAAACCCTCAGTTTGTCAAAGGGGCCAGAGTTCAGGTTCTTTCCGGCAGTGATTTCCCCTCTTGCAAAGCACATCAGGTTCACCAAGGGTGCGAATGGCTATGAATGCATGTCTGCTCTCCGCAACAAGCGTGAAACCCAACGCAGGCGCAAGTCATGTCTTTCTTAGTTTGGCTAACGTCAATCGTGCAAACAACAGTCCGTTGCGCATCTTGCATTCCATCGCATGTGGCTGGCAAGACATGTCAGGGACATGTGCGACGCAGTCGTAGCCGGTCGTCGCCGTCCTCCTCATCATCAGACGGGCCCCCCGGGCTCATTTTCCACGAGTCCGTTATGTTTTTTGACTTGCCCGTTGATTGAATACACACCAGTGACGCGCTCGGGTTTCCTGGCAAGCCGGCCGTGGGAAATTGCGCTAACCCTGCCAGTCCCATCGCTCGAGAGCGACCTTGACAGACACAGACAGGGACAGCGAAGTTATGACTGTCAGCACGCTCGACCCCGGGGGACATATGCCCACCTCTTTCGGACATTGAAGGCACCAACAACAATCACAGCCAACCTGGATCATTCTTCACCAACGACGACAACTACACTGCCAAGAAGATGTGTCAAGCCATGACGGTGGCTCTGACCCAGACATTTGATCTGGGCTGGCGGCGAGTTTAGTCTTGAAATCTGAAAGCCCGTGCAAATTAATAATTATTGTACATTTGTGTGTGTGTGACAGGCTGCCTGTAGCAGCTGCAACTCTCAAGCATCCTATATCACGTGGCAAAACAAGTGTTTGATGCATTTAGCAGTTGTTGTAATTATTTGTTGATTTGGCCAAATTGGCACACCATTAAAATCAATTTGGAGTTGGGCCTGGCGCGTGACCTTGGCCCACCTGATTGACCGGCTGGTTGTGCCCCGGAATCTTTTTGCATGAGCGGCCTGGCGCTTGCACCATAGAACAGCAGCTGGAAACAATTTGCAAGGCCAAGTACTTTAAGTGGGTCCCTGCGCCCGCAGCGCCGGATCCCCTCAATCTTCCAGCTCTCCGGGTTTCGTCAAGCTGGGCTTAGGCGCCGGGCCCCGGCAGCCAAGTTCTTCAGGGCGCCGACCCGGCAAGCCAGGCGCCGGGCCCCGGCAATCAAGTTCGCAGGGCGTCGGGCCCCGCGGCAAAATTAGGCGCCCTGGCAACACAGTTCTTCCAGGGGGCCGGGTCCCCGAATCATCTCCTGCAGTGCAGTGATGTAGTGGGACACCAATGCCCCAAGATGTGGAAGGCCTCCTGCTTGGACCTGGTCCGCAGGGTAACGCTGCACAACTCCCGACTGAACTGCGAATGGCGGCGAACCACGTTTGAGAGAGCATCTTTGGACTATTGTCTTACGGTTGAGTCACGCCTCTTCAGTTTGTCAATTTGGCCTCAGATTGAAGCGTGTGTCTTTGATTGAAGTGCAACCCCCCCACGCAAGTGAGGGCGTGGGCAATCACCCCCAAAAAACACAGGCAAGTGTTCGCGCGCAACATCACCGCTGGACATAAGCGCGCGTCTTGGAACGCGCGTGGCGAGCGGGCCTCCCCAGCGGCGGCGAGCGGGGACACAATGGTCGTGTCAACCGCAAGCTGGGCCCCGTTCCACAAAGGGCCGCTTGCCTGTGTCATCAAGGTAAGGTGAGGAATGTGTTGGCGGTCGCAGGCTTCTACACACTTCAAAGCACCCTTGACTTCGGAGTGCACCAGACCAGGCACACGCTGCTCGGCAGTCGCCAGACAGGATAACCGAATGAATCTTTGGTGGACACATTTAGAAGTTGACATGCGTTATTGCATGAAAAACTAGTGACGGAAGGGCTGCCATAAGATGTTTCCACAGATAGCTGAAAGCTATAGGGGTTCTAACTTCTAATAAAGAGGGAAAGTGATTTGCGAGATTGAGGGCAGGGTGCTAGGGGACAACTGCAGTGATGGGCAAGGTAGGCGCAGACTTGCTCATCCCGCAAGGTAATTTCATGGGCCTGGTTGGGTGCCGCTGGATGGCTGTCCGCGCAAAGCGAAGGTCAGCATCGTGCCAGCGCTCGTGCGAGGGCTCGCGCATACTTCAACCGCATTCTTTGAGGATCAATCATGACGCGCGCGCCGGAGGCCCTGTGTTTGGTAGGGTTTTCCAAAGCAACCAAGTCACACACAGGGGTCCCTGTTGTTTTTTCATAACACGAGTGTTAAACACAGACCATATGAGAGGGTAACGCAGGGGACAAAAAGGACAAGGGAAACCAAGTTCAAGGTGGTCTTGAGCCCAACTGGCCCCGGGTCTCACATGCCACTTGGCCCAACGACACCGAGTACGAAAGCGGAAGCGCTATCAAGTCAAGTACAGAACCAGCCAGTTTGGGAAGCCCTTGCCCAGGTGCCATGTTCTGCAAACCCAGGGGCCCGACTTGGTTTTTGAATTATTTGAGGCTGAGGTTCATAAATCATGCTTCCTATCACGGGGTGCGCGCAAGCCTGCGCAGCCTCTCTACACTTCATGCCCGGCACGCTTGCCTGGCAAGGCAGGAAATGGTAAGAGCAAGTGGCACAAATTGGGAACTCGTTTGGGCAATTGTGTTTTCCCATAATTCAGGACACCACCTTACTCAGGGGTCAAACTTGGACTCCCTGCTTCTTGGTTTCATCAATTTACTTGCGGTTCCAAAAGGAACCTGGGCACGCTTGCTGGCACACCTTGTCCCCTGCCAAAGCCCACCCGGAAGTCCGCAGCGCGCTCGTCTTTTCCCCCCTGCGCAAGAATCTGCTCCTAAACGATCGCGGGCGCGACGCTGGCGGCGCTCGCGGCGCGCAAGCGAAAACTCTCTGAGAGCAGGTCCCCATGAGCAGTGAACAACTCCAGGCGTTGCTGGCATGTGACCTTGGGACGTCCGACCCGACTGCTGAATCAACACATCGTATTCAGGCCCGCTGCCTTTCCTTTTGGGTTCTTCAAAGCGCCTTAGTGTTCCGGGGTGAACACCTCGCCCGGCCGCCGCGCTTCAGCCTCCGCGCTTCCCTTGAGGGCCAACCGCAGTGCCAGGGTCGTTATACGCCGGATAATACCTCCAAAATTACATAAGCGTGAAGCAAGAGGGTTATGGCACGATTGCCTGTGAGGGGTCTGGACTGGCGTGGGTTCAACGGCCATCAGCAATTCACTCAACCGCAATCTTCACTCTTCACCAGCAAGTGCGCAGCAAAGACTGTAACGATATACATGATAAACAATGACCGCTGCTGCAGACGGGGCGGTCGCCCCCCTGTTTAGTTTCGCGGCCCTAAGGCTTTGGGGCTGATTCGTGCGCCTGACTGCCGAAGACGCCTTGCCCCTTTCAAGGGGAACAGGGCTTCACATGCTTTTGCACGAGCTTTCTTCTCCTTGGGTAAACGACGTCATGGTGGCCTCGACGCGTGGAACATGGGCTTGTCTGACATGAGATAACCTATCAAGAGCGGTGTTCTCCTTTTCGCTCCCTCTAAACAACGAAGAGTCAACGGCAGTTGCTTGCTACGTGGTTAAATGAGCGGGCTCTGCCGCCGTTCTCCAAGCCCTGCGCTCACTGACCTCGTTTTCCAACACCCCATATGCACCCAATGAGTCAAACGAGGACCACAACCTTCAGCCTTCTCTTTACCTCTGTATGGATCTCAGCCAGTCCTTGAGGGCCTGGCAGAGCACCGTTCAAGGCAGACCTGCTTGTAGACCGACGCCTCACGTGCGTTTCTGGGTTGCGCAAGGTGGCTGCAAGACACGCGTGCGCAGAACGTGAAAGCGCTGAGAAGGAAACACGCAAATGCAACTTGGGGGAAAACGCGGCCCTGCGAATAAACCCGGCCATGCAAACCACCTTGGTCTTGGCGCCTTGCAGGAGCGGGCTTGGAGCGGTCTCAATGCGGCGCGAGAGCGCGCTCGGCGCGACGCCGCTTCAATCACACAACTGTCTATCAAATGTTACTGGCCTGGCTGACGGATCGACTAACAAACTTGCTAACTTGTTAAACAGCTAAGTGTGTGTGGCAAAGCACGCGTTGTTGCCTCGCCAATCTGCATTCACGTGCGTTGAGAAGGAAGGCTTCTCCTAGTAGTGGGCCAACGTTTCGAAACTTCTATCCCTGGCTTCGCCGGCTCTTCTTGAAAAACCAAACAACTTGGAGAGCACCTCAGGCTAACCGCTTGCAATGAGATCAAGCATCGAACCACGACAGTAACCAAGCTGATATCCCTCACGATAAAAGTCTATTGTTGGGACAGTTCCAAGTTTCGATTGCTCTCAATTTCTTTCACTGTGCGCAGTAAATGCAAAGGCCTTCTACCCCAAGCGAGTCCTATCCAAGCAACTGTGGAAGTGCCCTAAACTAGGAGTTGGCGCCCTAAGTCACGAGCTACTAGCTTTGCAAAACCCCCCAAAAAACGGTCGACGCCCTTGGCGTTCCCTTCGCCCACCACTCAAAAGGCTTTTGAGAACAAACCCCTGTTCTATGCTCCGAGCTTTTGCCAAGCCACATCCAGCATGACTTCCACGCCGCAGGTCTCTTGCCCGCAGGCAAAGGGCCGCAGGGTAGAGACTGCTGTGCCTGATTAGGCGGGTCATGGCATTCAAGCGGTCTACCCAAAACCATGAATAACAATGGCACTGAATTTGACGGGGCCCAACTGCTTGTGGCAAGGGGCTACATGCTGGTGGAGGTTCTCCTTGCTGGTCAGGTCAGGCGTGTGGCGGTCATGTTTCTGGCCGGACACCAAGGCAGACTCAATGACTTCTTTTGGAAAAGAGGCCTCGACTTGCAATGCTAGCACCAGCCGTATAAGCCCAGACACAGATGTTTCTCCAACTAGCGGCCCTCCAAAAAAGGGATTGCCATTTGGTTTTCACTCGCCAAACGATGTCCTGTCCCCCCCCCATGTTCAGAGCAAACCTGAAGAGGGTTTGCTTACAAAAAGCAACAGGGGGCATGTAGCAGGGAACCAGGCTGGGTTTCTTAAAATTGGCCGGCCCCTTGAAACGCTTGGTTTTCTTTTAGCTTCCTTGCCACACCGAATGCGAAAAGGGGCGTGCAAAAGCAGCCATACATCAAAGGGTTGCCAACTTCCTCATCTCATCGCCTTAGCGCTCCCCTCCCCCTCTTTTCCCAAAATTAACCCCTGATAAAGGGGGGGTTCTCTGTGTGCGCCAAGCGCTTGGCGGGAGGGTGTGAAGTTCGCGACCCGCTGGGAGCAGTCTACACCTGGGTCGCGCGCCATACCAGAAGGCTTGCAGCTCGGGGGGTCTGTAGCCTCTAAGAAGATTGTCTCCCCCCAAGCAAATACGACAAACCGGCTCTCAGCCCTCCGAGCCCCCTGCCGCAAAGGTCGTTGCAGAGGACATGAAAGTCGCGACCTCTGAGAACGGCCACTGGCAGCCACAAGCAACAGGAGCATGCCTTGAATCACAAGCAAAGTCTACCCCCGTTCTGAAGAACGCAAAGGGCTCACGCAGCACCCGACAAAGGGAGGTTCTTGGTGGTCCAACTTGAAGTCTCTTCAAAACCGCATGGAAGATACCCCCCAAAACGCCCAGGGCCCGACGCAACCCATGTAATGTGGGACCGGGGCCTCACTCAACGGGATTCGGGAGACTTTCTCATTCTGTTGGCCTCTTTTCTCTTGCTCTCTTTCTCTTTCTCTCTTTCTCTTGCTCTCTCTCTCTCTTGCTCTCTGTCTCTTGCTCTTTCTCTTGCTCCCTTTATTTTGCTGTTAATCTCTCTTTCCCTTATCGCTTTATCTTTCTCTCATTCTCTTTCTCTCATTATCTTTCTCTCTTCGTCTTGCTCTATTGCTCTTACTTTTTTCTCTTTATATTTTTCTCTTTCTGTCTTTCTCTTTCTCTTGGTCCTTTCTTTCTGTCTATACATATTTGTTTCTCTCTCTCTCTATTTCTTCCTGTCTCTCTTCATTTAACTATTTCTTTCTTTCTTTCTTTCTTTGGTTCGTTCGCTCGCTCGCTCTTTCTTTCTTTCTTTCTTTCTTTCTCTTTCTTTCTTTCTTTCTTTCATTTCTTTTTTCTGTCTTTCTTTCTTTGGTTTCTTTCTTTTGTTTCATTCTTTATCCCTTTCTTCCTTTTTGCCTTCCTTCCTTCCTTCCTTCCTTCCTTCCTTTATTTCTTTCTTTCTTTCTTTCTTTCTTTCTTTATCTCTCTCTCTCTCTCTCTGTCTTCTTTCTTTCTTTCTTTCTCTCTTGCTTTCCTTTTATTTCTGTCTTTTACTCTTTCCCTTTCTCTCTTTCTCTAGCTCTCATTATCTTCTTTTTTTCTCACTTATTTCGTTCCCTTGTTTTCTTGTATTTTCCTTTCCTTTCCTTTCCCTTCCTTCTTTCCTTCTTTCTTTCTTTCTTTCTTTATTCTATCTTTCCCTCTTTCTTTCTCTCGTTCTTTCTTTCCTTCTCTTTGTCTTTCTTTGTCTTTCTCTTCCCCTGTTTTTCTTTATCTTTCTCTTTCCTTCTTTTCTTGTTCTCTTTGTCTCTCTCTTTCTCTTTATCTTGCTCGCTTTCTCGCTCTCTCTTTCTCTTGCTCTGTGTCTCTCTCTCTCTCTCTCTCTCTCTCTCTCTCTCTCCCCCCGCCTCTTTCTCTTTCTCTCTGTTGCCTTCTCCTTCTCCTTCTCTTTCCGTCTTTCTCTTGCTCTCTTTCTCTCTTTCTCGTTCTATGTCTCTCTCTGTCTCCTCCTCTTTCTCTTTCTCTATTTCCCAATTTCCCAATTTCCCAATTTCCATATTTCTCTATTTCTCAATTTATCTATCTCTCTTCTTGTTTCTTTCTTTCGCTCTCTCTCTCTCTCTCCCTCTTTCTCCCTCCCTCTTATCTCTCTTCCTCACTTGCCCTCTTTCTCTTGCTCCCTTTCTCTGTCTCTTTCTCTCTTTTTCTCGCTCTCTTTCTTTTGCTCTCTTGCTCTTTCTCTCTTCAGCTTTCTCCCCTTATCTTTCTCTCTTGCTCTCTTTCTCTCCCTTCCTCTGTCTCTTTTTCTCGCTCTTTTTTGTGTTGTCTTTCTCTCTTTTTTATCTTTCCCTCCTTTGCTTTCTCTCTTTCGCTCTTTCTCTTGCTCTCTTTTTGTCTTTCTCCTTCTCTTCTCCCGCTCTCCCTCTCTCTTTCTCTTTCTCTTTCTCTCTGTCTTCTGCTCTTTCCCTTCTCTCTTTCTCTCTTGCTCCTGCTCTCTTTCGCTCTTTCTCTTTTCCTCTGTCTTCTGCTCTTTCCCTTCTCTCTTTCTCTCTCTTCCTCTTCGTTTGGTGGTTGTTCTAAATTCCTTTGTCTCGAAACGGCCATTCTTCGCGAATAAGAAAGTTACTTGCGCGAATCTTTCGCGGATTCATCGCCGTGCCCTTTTCCTTGCTCAAGTCAGAAAATCGCAGCTTTTAAATGCTAGTGCAGTGCGCGAAATCCGATTCCCCAACTCCAGCTGTAAAGTCGCAACTTTCATCACAGTGGTAGTACATGACATGCACCAGCTGGAAAAACGCAGCTTTTCGTAAGCCGTGCAGCTCCAGC